AAAAAAGGGGGTGTATGAATAATAGTTATTAATGGGTTTCAAGAAGAATATTCTCATTGCTTTATTTCTCTTTTTTTCACTTCTTAAAAAATTCATTAGAAACTGTAACTTGAATAAATAAAAACCACTGGAAAGTAGATAGCATGATAAGATTTAAATATATACTCAAATTTTATTTTTTTAATTTTATAGGTTACATATCAATTGATGCCATGAAGAAATTCCTTGGGGAGCTACACGACTTTGTTCCTGGAAGCTCAGGATATTTAGCATACCATGTTCAAAATGAAATTAACATGTCTTCCATAAAAAACAAATTGAAGAGAAAACACTAAGTTAAATTGTCTTTATGTCTGGGTACCAGTATTATCTATAAAGTGGTACCTAAGATGTGAATAATTTTAAATGCTTTCCTTTGGGACCAGGGCATAGGAAGATGAGGTAGAATTATTCTTTTCCTTCCTCAAAATGTATCTTTAGGAAAAAAAGTTTTTTTTTAAATGTATCTTTAGGAAATTCAGAATCTTTGTGGCTCTGTATAATGGCATTTGGCTGGCCTTTTCCCAGCTTGTAACATGTCCACAATTCTGAGTACACAGTTGTTATGGGGTAATTGTTACTGAACAATGTTTCACCAAAAAACCCTCATTTCTTCCCTTCACTAGCAAATGCCTTTTTTGATATAAATATATTCAATGTTATGTATGCTAAGTTGTATGACTCTGGTCATCTTACTTTTAGAAAATTTAGAATGCAATAGTTGAGTTCTTAATTACTATTTGTGGTTTTTAAAGTATGGAGTAATTTCTTCCCTCTATTAAAATGAAGAAGTGTAAAGCATTTTAATAATTTAGAATTCATTTGTGGATGATTTCTGGTAAATGCTATCGACACTAATTTAATGTAAACAGATTACAAGAATCATACATCTGAGATGAAGCTACAAGACAACCCAGACGCACAACACTAGAAAGGACTTAGAGAACAAGTTCAACCTGTTTGCTGTATTTCGTGGGGAAAGGAAGGCCTTGAGAGTGACTTGCCTGGGGTGACTAACTGGTGGTTGAACTTGGACTGGAGTATAATTGTCTTGACGATCCAGGCTATTGTTTCTTAAGTCCCCCTCACTCCCTCTTGGTGGCAGGAACAATGTTGTTGTGTGGTGTCATCGAGTTGGCTCTGGTCTGTTGCGGCCTGATGCACAACAGAACAAAACACTGCATGGTTCTGTGCTGTCCTTCCAATTGTTCCTATGGCTGAACCCAATGATGCAGCCACTGTGTCCATCCTCCTTGAGGGCCTTCCTCTTTTGGGCTGCCCTTCCACTTGACCAAGCTTGATGTCCTTCTCCAGGGATTGGTCTCTCCTGACAATATGTCCAAAGTATGTAGGAGGAAGTCTTGCCATCTTTGCCTCTAAGGAGCACTCTGGCCTTACTTCTTCCAAAGAGATTGGTTTCTCCTTTTAGCATTCCATAGTACTTTCAGTGCTCTCTATCACCACAATTCAAATGCACCGATTCTTCTACGGTCTTCCTTATTCAGTGTCCGACTTTCACATGCATAGGATGCAATGGAGAATGCCATGACTTGGGTCATGGTTTATGCATAGCTTCAAAGCATTGTTAGGTATAATAGGACAGAAAAATCTGCAAGCAGGACCCAGAAACAAACCAACATGCCTGACTTGTGTTTTAAATAAATTGAAATTTTGATAAACTGAGATGCACTGATTTTTAAGATGGAAACTTTGTTTATACAGCCATGTTATGTAGTCTGGTGGATTTAATTGGTTTTAGACATTTGTAAGTAAAATATTCTTTGTGAAGCTTAATATCTTGTTAGAACTGCACATGCCGCCGTAGAATTATCTTCTTAAATGTCTACTTTTTTTTAAAAAAAGTGTCTAAATTCATTGGAGTCTATGTGGACCGTGATTTTTCTCCTATGAGTACAATTTCATAATATAAAGTTTTAGTACTACCCCAACATCAGCATAAGGCACACTGGTGTGAGATGTAGTCAATTACTTACAGGGCCCTTCTATGGACTGCCAGGGTTACTTGTTAGATTACTAACTGAAAGGTCAGCAATTCAAAACTACCACCCTCTCCACGGGAGAAACATGGAGCTTTCTACTCCTAAAGAGGAGCTCTAGGGGCATAGTGGTTACCTGTTTGACTGCTAACTGCAAGGTCAGTTGTTCAAAACCACCAGCCACTCTTTGGGACAAAGAGGGGGCTTTCTACTTTCATAAGTCAAAAACTCACAGGGGCAGTTGTGCCCTGCCCTGTAGGGTCGTTATGAGTCCATATCTACTCAATGTCAGTGAATTTTTGCTTGTCTGTTTATTGGTTGGCAAAAGAACAAACAAATCTTTCTTGGAACAAGTACTGCCAGGTTGTTCCTTAGAAGTAAGTATGATGAGACTTCCTCTCGCAGACGTTGGACATGTTATCAGGAGAGACTATGTCCTGGACAAGGATGTCATGCTTTGTAGAGGGGTAGTGGACAAAAGTGAGACCCTTAACAAGATGGATTGACACAGGAGCTGCAACCGTGAGCTCATACATAACAATTGTGAGGATGGTGCAGGCCCAGGTGGTGTTTAGATCTGTTGTACATAGGGTTACTCCGACACAGAATCAACTCAAGGCACCCAGTAACAACAGCCATATTCTCATTGGCCATCTTCATTCTGTGTGATGCTGTAGATCCGTGGTTCTCAACCTGCCTAATGCTGCGACCCTTTAATACAGTTCCTCATGTTGTGGTGACCCACCCCAACCATAAAATTATTTTTGTTACTAC